TGATCCTCAAGGCACAACGGAACTGGTGAGTCCCGTAACCAATGTTAGTATTCCCGAGTGAAACCGGCAAAACGACGAGCCCTTGGCTCAATGGTTAGCGCGCTGGACTTATAATCCACGATCTCGGATTCGAGCCTAGGGTGTCTGGGGCTAGGCATGGCTGGCTGACGATAGCTTATAAGTCAGGAATAGCCATTCTAGTCTCCCATTGTCGGTAATTTTCTTTTGTGCTATCCGTTATGCGGCTGCTGATTTTGGGGTGACTATTTGAAACATTTGGCGGATAAACGTGCAGCCAATAAAAATGCAGGATGAACGACCAATAGACTAGCAGGCGTTTCAATGCTTTTACATATTGTATTAATTCTTATATGACTTCAAATTGGTTTTTGAAATTAGTACAGAAAGGAAATGGTAGTAAGGAGATCGTCTGCTTCAAATTTTCTGTGGTTCACCTTACCGTTCTCGAGTTAGTTTAGTATAGTCTGGGGCGTGAAGCGCCACGCACACCGTCAATTTACATGCGCGACAACTTACATGAAGCCTTGGATGTGTTTTCTTCCAGTTTTTGGAACCTCTTCAGGACAAAACAAACAGTAAAATGCCCGCCAATATAGTGGAGGGTCATGCTGCACCTTTATTGGTTATATTCATCCGCCAAGATTTGTGCAAATAGGGTCTTCCCCTGGAATTATGCGCCGGGCCAATTTTATTACTCGTACAGGGTGTTCCCATTCCCAGGTTCTGTTTTAATGGGGTCCTATAAGTCATCCTTACCAGACTTTCTTACATTTCACATTATTGCTACTATTTCTGATGGGGCGGAAAGGGGAGGCACATTGGTCGCGTTACGGGACAGACGCGTCCTGGGCCCGGCGCATAATTCCAGGAGGGTTGAGTATTCACGTGTCATAACACCAGCCTTTACAGTAGTCCTAATCCAAGCCATAACATTGCAATTCAAAATAACTTGCCAATAAAAGCGAACATACGGGTCCCAGGAAGTAATTGAGAAGAAGAAGATTCGATTCTTGCGACAACACTTTTATTCGCCTGATGTTTCGACATCCGTCACGGATTCTCCA